ATTTTTAAAATAAAATTTGATTTTTAAAATGTAAAGTTAAAGAATTAGCAAGATTTTTAAGACCATCAATGTATATAGAAAAAATTAGAATTCTTTAAAGTTTTTCAAATAACAGTAAATAAAAACTTCTTAATAAATAAGAAATAGCATTTCATTTTTTTGTAACATTTTTAGAGTATGTGTACGAATCTTAATTTCTCATGTAGAGCAGATAATTCTCTATTTAATGTCAATTGAAAAGCTATCATAATTTAAAAGTAGAAAAACAAGTAGTTTTCTCCCTGAGAAATTACACCCATAAAGTAATCTTTATTTTACTTTAAGTGAACATGAAGCACTGGGGACCGTTTCAGTGTGTAAAGAAGTGGGTCTATCTATTTATTTTAGTGTGTAATTATCTATGGTGTCAATTAAAAAACAATCAACATTTAAAAGTATAATAACGGATTGTTTTCTCCCTGGTAAATTACACACATTAATTAATCCATTTTTTGCTTAAAGTTGACATGAAACACTGGAGACCAATTCAGTGAATGCCACAGTAGGTCTATCTTTTCAAATTGTAAGGAGGCAAGTGAATTTCTATATTACACAAGCCTGTGACCAAAAAATTGTTTAGAAACCAATAGCTGTTTCTGATAGATTTTTGAATGCTGATTTCAGTAAAAAATAATTAATTCAACCACGTACCATTTTCACACAAATTAAAAATTTTGATTTCTATAGCCACTAATCCTTTGTATTGTAAACTAGAAAAGAAGATAGCCGCAAGTCGTACTTTTGGTTAAAACGTGAGGTGTTTAGGCAATCCTGTGATGCGAATAAATAATAAAAAAAAACTTTATTAATGAAGTGATTATGTTCTTTTTCCTTCTTTCATAATAGAATCTATTAAAGGGAACTAAAATATTCTTAGTAAGACAAATGAGTCATTGTTTCTGATGAATTTTATTAAACTAAATTGAGTAAAAAGAATCCCCAATCGACAGCATTAACACTTGGGGAGTTAATAATGATTTTTACATGGAAAGTAAAATTTTGTACTCGTTTGTACTCTTCGCACCTACTTTGTCATTTTTACATGTATGAGATTGCCATCTGTAGATGTAAGATATTGTTTCTTACATACTTTTTAATGTCACTATAATCAAACTCAATCCAATATAATCAAAATTAAATCAATAAAACTAATAGTTAAAATATATGCTATTTTTGTGAAAAAAACTATGGCTTTTGATTTATACATGTTTACGCATAAATTTCCTACAGCATCAAAAATATTAGTTTATTATTGATTGATTTAATTTTTATTATATTTTGATTGATCATGAAAATTATTGTAAACAAGCTGCGCTTTATTATATAGCAGTGTAAAATGCGTAAATAGGTATACAAAATTGAACTTTTGATACATAAAAACTTATAAAACCTTTTAACTTCATCTTAATCTTTTTACTTTATTAACTATAATTTGGTTATTCAATTCAGTGCAAAAAATATATAGAAGACAATCGACATTTGTTTGAAAAAAAAACGTTAAAGGCCTATATTTATAAATTATATGTACAAAACTACACATAATTGAGAAAAAAGTATTCAGACATTTTTGCACTAAAAAATAGGGTTAAAATCACCAGAGAATAATAAAATTTAACGTGCTATAAGAACACCAAAAACCTTGATAATTTTTATTCAAGCACTTTGTTAATGATTTTGATAAAATTAATCATTAAATATGGTTTCATAATATGTGATATAGTTTGGTAATTTTCTAATGATATCTTAAAGCATAACCATTAATTTGGATAAATTTATCTTTCAGTTTGGAGTTTTTATTAATGTGTGGTAATAAGAACTATAATTTTAAAAACCAGAACTTCCAGTCCACCGTAGCCATATGAACGGTAAAACTAGCAAATGAATAGTTCAAACACCATATATTTTGGCTTTATTAGCCAGAATTGCGTGTTTTTTCTCTCCAGAAAAGTCATTTCTATACAGTATGGTAGTTTTACCAGAATTTTTTTTCCGTGTTTAAAGACATAAAACCTTAATAACTATTACCTTAAAGACATAAACCTTAATAACTAAACTATTAATCCTATTGACTTCAGTTGGATTTCATTCCATTCAACGTAAAAATATACATCAGAAAGAATATCTCGTTTGTCATTGTAGTTGTTTATAGTTTGTCCTAGACTCCTGAATTTATAAAATGTGAATTTTCTCCATATATTTAAGTTAAGTTTGCAAAAATCATTATATGATTGAAAGAAATGGATACCATATTTGGAATCAGCTGGCTAAACAATATAAAAATCAGTCATTATATCTAAATCAATTTTCTTATAAGTCAAATTTTTGCAGGCCTGCGTAGTTATAACCTTTTTTTAATATATTTTTTTGTTTCATTTATGAAGTATTATAAAATAATATTGAACTTTTGCTCATATTTAAGGTTTTAAAATAGAGATAAGAGACGAAGTAGTATTATAAAATTCGTTTATCTCCAAACAATTCCATCTAAAAAAACTTTTAATAAATAATTATTACATTTTATTATTTCATTTAATAAAGATTAAAAAAATGTGAATCTTAAAGTACACAAATTTTTACATAGTTATAAACTATGCAATTTTAAATGACAAAATACAAAATCCGTACGAATTCGATCAAATAGTTTTGAGTAATAAAATTTCAAAAAAGCTGTGTTTTTAAGCTTATATTTCTATAGAACAATATGGTCTATTTTGTACAAATTTTGTACTATGAGATTTATAATTACAAAATTTAAAATCGCGTAAAAATTTCAACATTTTACGGCCTTTATTAAATAATAAGAAAAAAAATAATTATCAAACATTTTTTTATAGAAAACTCATTGTTGTATAACAAAATTTTAGAATAAGCGTAGAAAAGTTATTCAATTCGCTTAAAAAATTCTTGAGTTATGGCAAAATACACAAAAGTTACGCTCTCCTGACTGTAAACTATTGGGACCATATTTCCTAGATTGCGGAACCTTTCCCCCATTTCGATGGTCGAAAATCCAAATCAATGAGAATGTGGTATGTTTATTTTGAGAAAGTACTTCTTTGTATCTAATGCTGTCATTTAATTAATAATAGAATTACTTAATTAGCATATTTGAAGTCACCCCCTTTGAACTACTAAGATTACCAGTTAATTAGTGGAAATCTGATAAAAATGATTTAAGTTGATATTTTTTACCTGACTACAATTGTTTTTGGTTTGTATATTACTTTGATCATAGATCTGAACCGAAACTTTCCGTTTCGTAAATGCCTCAGGAGTTAGACTTCTCAGCTTGTGTGAAAAAGAAAGATTAGATACCAGGCTAATCTTAGAGGATTCTGCGGTTTTTGCCTCGATGTAACGCAAGTGCAGATTAGTGTAACTCAAATCGCTCAACTAAGGACACAAATTTTAACCGATATTTCAATTAGCTTGTTTTCTGAGTTGGGTTTCAGAGAAATATAATTTTAAATTTCGGAATTTTTTAAAACTCAATTTCTCAGGAACTGTTCTACTGATTTCGGCCAAATTTCGTATTTTGCCTTGCTAAATTATAGTCCTTAAAATGTTGCAGAAATTGTATACCTTACATTTCGAAATTTTTTCGACACTTGATAAATAGAATAATAAAAAATAATAAACATTTACTAAAAGTTATTTTTTTACTTGAAAGTATCTTTAGATAAAAGAATTTTATATTTATGAGCAAAAAGTTTTCAATTCGCTTTAAAATTTCTCGAGATATAGCGAAAACGTAAAAAGTAAAATTAACATTAGATCAAAAGTTATTCAGGGTGGACCGTTTTTGTTTCGTGCACTGTACATAAAAACTGTTCAAATAAAATAATGATATTTTAACTCATTTATTGATAAAAAAATATCAGTTCAAAATACATTTTTGAACTTTAAGTGCAATTCAAATTTTTGAAGTGAAATTTTATCTTAATAAGATTTTTTAAGTTTGAATTTGTACTTTGAATATATTTAGCCTGTATGTTAAGGTCTGTATTGTTTAAAAAATTCTTGCAGCTTAATTGTGAGCTTAGCATAAGTTTTTTTTACCCATTTAGAAGTTATTTTCATAAATTAATTAAATATAAAGTAAAAACTTACAAAACTCTCAATAATAAATAATAAAATATTATTAATATTTGAGTTGGTTATTTAAACTCAGTATTTTTAGATTTAATTTTACTTATTTTATTAATGATTGAAAGCTGAAATAATTTGTAAGAATACATTTTGATGTTAGTATTTATTAATTTTTTCGTAAAATAATGAAATTTTAAAAAAAAAAATCAAGTGCTTAAAATGATTGTTATTTTATGATATTGTTATTTTATGATAATTAGGCTTAGAAAATACATAAATCTAGATTAAAATAAATTATAATTTTTTTAAGGTGGATAGAAAGTATAACGCCATAACTTGTTTTAAAAAAAGAGTTAATCTATTTCTAGACCACATGCGAGAGGGGGGGGGGGGTCCCAAAATTTGTCAGTGGGGTGATGTTATACAGCATAAAGAGGAGGAAAAAGTACTACATATAGTACATAAAATAGGATTGCTGAGACCCTACTGTGACCATAGGCGTCACATAAACTACTAATTTAAGTTGACCCTTTAGGATAAGTCGTATGGATTGAGATTTGTTTTTACTCAATTCTTTTTTTTTTAAATTTTAAAACAGTAGATCACATCATTTGAAGCGTCTGCTCTCCAAATTTTATATCATTAAGACTCATGCAATTTCCTATTGTGCCATCTATCAGAGAATTTAAATACTATTTTTAATAAATAAGTCCTGAGCACGTAATTTCAAATGTCTGTTATTAAAATTTCATACCATTTTGCCAAATAGAATTCCTTATACAGTTGCACAGTCATTTGAGTAAAAGAAGTTTAATTTTAGTTACAATATAAGCTCTTGAGAATAATTCAAAATGTAATTTTTCTTTTTCGTTCTAGGTCTATATCCAGAAAGTCACGGCATTGTGCAAAATTACATGTATGATAAAGAACGTGATGATTTGTTCTTGATGGCACTTCATTCAAATGCTTCTCATAGTCATTGGTGGAACAATGCAGAACCAGTATGGGTCACAGCAGAGAAAAGAGATTTAAAATCAGCTGTTTATTGGTGGGATGGTTGCCAAGTCCCCATTCATGGTATAAAACCAACAAAATGTGAAGAATATGCCAATTATTGGGTATGGGGCAAAGTAAATAGAGATACACAAGATGCATTCACCGACTTGTTAGACAAATTCCAAAAAGACAACTTTCGATTAGGTATGGTCTACTATGAAGCTGTTGATGCAAATGGTAAGTCTATAATAATTTCTAAATAAACTTTCTTTTAACGGTTAAGCATAGGAATATTAGATATTGATTTAAGATGCAAAACCAATATGGATCACTCCAGGGAAAAGATATTTAAAAAAACAGGTGCTTATTGGTGAGATGGTAGCCAAGTTGTCATACACGGTAAAAAACTAACGAAATGTGAAGGATATGCCAATTATTGGGTATGGGGCAAGTAAATAGAGATACCCAAGGTGAATTGACTGAATTCCAAAAGGATAACTTTCGATTAGATTTAGTCTGCTAAGAAAATATTGATGCAAATGGTAAATTTATAGCAATTTCATTTAAATAAACTTTCTATTAACGGTTAAGCTTAGAGCGGGTGAAGTATAAGCGTCGTCAATTGTATTTAAATATGAAAATTACTTATTGGTGAAATAAGCTAATCCAATGTTGCTCGCTAGTTTTTGCGAAAATAAGTTTAACAAAAGGAAATTATACAAATAAGTATTCATGTAATACAGGGTATATCTCAAAGTCATGAAGTATTTTTAATACAGAGACAAAAAGCAACGATTTCCCGAAAAAGATGGATAAATTTTCACTGAGAAAGTTTAACAGTGTCTAATATTTATAAAAAACAATCCCATTTAAAAAAATGTATTTCTTGATATGATAGAAGTATAATTGCTTTTACAATTTACAATCACTAAATAATGATAATAAAAAAATACTAATTACCTACTTTTGAAATTAATTTGTATAGAATCTTATCAAACAGAAATATAAATTTAACGAAAATGAATTTAAATGAAATCTGAATCAAACGAATGTAAATAATTTTGATAAGATAATATTGTGATAATTATCCTCTTTGGGACTGGTGATTCCTAAGTGCTTTAGTATATAATCAGAATCTGGACAGAAAAAAAAACGGTCGCTTAAATGTGAGCATAGCTTATTTGACAGTCTTTTTTTGCTTACACCTAAGTCAATCTTACTCTAATCACATATCTAATAAATGTTAATTTAAAATGTAAACATAACATTTTTATTTTGAACGAATTAATAGTAAATTAAATAAATCAAAATATTACTACCCAACCAACAAATAAACTGCACATGGAATAATTTGGCTACCATTTTTATCTTCGCACCCTGGTTGAGAACGGTTCATGATGGCACATATTCGGGATAACCGGCGTGAAAGGGTTAAAAAATATCAATATATTGTAAGATAATATCGGGATAGTTAAAAAATATCGATACTTTTCGCTATTCCATTCATATCTCAAGCTTTTTTTAATGCATGCCCCACATTGTTTACTAGCTATTACTATTGTTTTCTATTTAGTTTAATTTAAATTTCAGTGAAATTGCAAAGTATTCTGTGTTTTCAGGGCACTTCAGCGGACCTGATTCGGTGGATCGAATTCAGTCACTGCTTGATATTGATGCAATACTTAACACCCTTCAAGATGAAATAGCAAGACGAGGACTAGAACGCCAGGTAATTTGATAATTGAAATGAGACACTCAGAATCATGATACATTAACAATTGATGAAATTTAGGAAATATTGTGAAATTTTTCTGGTTCATAAATTTTGCTATAGATCTAATTTTTCAGAATCGTATATTTGAAATCATACATGTATAAAAGTTTATATCCATTCCTTTTAAAAGTTATCAGCAACAGGGTTTTCAACTTTCAATTAAGCCAAGAAAAATAACCAGCTAGCTTTTTTTTGGAAAATAAATAATATAAATAAATAAATAAATAAATAAATAAATAAATAAATAAATAAATAAGTAAATAAATAAATAAATAAACAAATAAATAAATAAATAAATAAATAAATAAATATAAATATAAATATAAATATAAATATAAATAAATAAATATAAATAAATAAATAAACGAATAAATATTTTTGTGCTCTTAAACGTTGTTCACCTTAGTTAGCTTTTTTTGGGTTTAAAATACATATAAAAAGCTTTAACTAAAGCTTTGCTAAAATAAAAAGAACAAAATATTATTAAGTATCTGTGCTTAGTATTTATAAATATGTGCTTAGTATCTAGTTTATTTTAAAGGTTTTTGTCTAAATTTTATTTATAACTAAATATTTTTCGCTGAATGAATTTTTTTGCGAGAATGGCTCATTTATGTACATAACTATGTGAAAATAAAAATAAACTGTAGGTTAATACAAATGATTTTGCATAAAAATTGCTTTAAAGTATTTATATCATTTAAAAATTTCGTAAAACATACATAAAATTCGAAATAGTATGTACACCCAATTAATTAAGCTTTTAGTATTGTTCTCATTATGTTACAGTTTATAATTATGGGCAAGAATGTTCCAATTTTCTTGAAATTTCCTTGAGATAGTAGGAAATATGAAAAAAGCAAAATTAAATTAGCATTAAGGGGACCAGACTATGGAGCGATTACTTGACCTTACGTAAAGTCCTGACCATATAGTCCTTATAGGACTATATTTCACGGATAGCGGCTACCCTCTATATTTTGAGTATCAGAAATCAGAATCCGCCTGAAAAAAGATTTGTTTCCTCAGAGAAAGTACGTTTTTCTCCCTGTTTCATGAATTAGAATATCATCTTCACTAATTAATTAGCATATTTGAGTTCATCCCTTCGAACTATTAAAATTGAGTCCTAGAATGGACGATCCGATCATTAATTTAAAGGTAATTCACGATAGTCCTTTTTTGTGTATTGTACATGAAAATCTATTTATTATAGATCAAAAAACTTATAAGTCTATAACCACTGAATATTAAATTGAATCATCGTGACTGAATGTGCTCTCTGTAGGTAAGTGTGCAAATTCGGATTATAGTTTTAAAGACTTGATCAGAACGTAAAGTGAGTAGCCTAGTAGAGGAACATGTTTAGTGACATTTTAAAAACACTTAATTTTTTAGGTTGGTAGTAAATATTCTTTCTTTTAGACCAGGCCTTAAAAAAATTGACTTTCGGTGGAAAAATATGTTTAAAAGAAGGTTCTTAATTTTTCTATGCATTCAAGCGTTCAATTTTATCAAGTTAACTGAAAAGTTATCTAACATAATCTTCCGTTTGGGACTTAAGCTTACAATTTTTGGCAAACTTTGAATTAAGTAGCGATGAGTACTCAGAAGAGCAAGATTACCTTTTTTATTCAACAAACGTGGGTTTATGTTTTCATTGATGGTCATCATTTCAGTGATATTGGTTGTCATCATTTGCTGGAATGGTTTGTCTTTACTTTTTCGTGCAATAAATATATATTCTTTGTTTTTCTTTTAAACTTTCCTCGAGAATGACTTTTTTTTTATAGAAAAAATGCATCAAATGTAACTTTTAAAAATTTCAGGTGAATCTTATTGTCGTCTCAGATCATGGAATGCTTGCAATCAATCCTTCTAAAGCAAAAGTAATTGATATTGAGAAAGCAATTGATTTGGATGATGTGAAACTAATGTTAGATAGGGGTGCTGTTTCGATGATTTTGCCCCAAACAGGAAGAGCTGATAAAGTAAGTACAATTATTAGAATACCCACTTGCTCCAGTTCTCTCTTTGTTTTATATTTCATATTATTTTATTACCGGTGTTGATTAGCTGACCCGATTCTGAGTTTATGACTATCAATGTTCAACTCCGCAGCCTTGTAATTTTGAACCCAACTCAGAAGGCAAGGAAACTTTTCTATAAAATATGCTTTAATAATATGTGATAAAATTTGATAAATGTGGTAATATTTGGTAATTTATTCGTGATACCTTAGAGCAGGGCATAAAAACCATTTATTCTGTTAAATTTACTTTTCAGTTTTGTGTCTTTTACTAAATGTGTGTTTATAAGAGCTTTAATTTTGAAAACCAGAAATTCCAACAAACCGTTACTATACAAATGACCAAATAAGTGGCTTAAATACCGTATATTTTGATTTATTATTCAGAATTACATTTATTATTATTATTATTGTTATTATTATCATCAGAAATGTCATTCCCATGGAAGTACGGTAATTTTACCAGAGTTTTTTCCCCCGTGTAAATATTTACGGAGTTATAACAGTTTATTTTATGGAATAGCCATTTTGCAAAATTTATTAAAACACTGCGTTATTATAAATTATTCAAGATTTATTATCACAAATTCTTAGAAAATTAAGAATTTTAAAAATTGATACTAAGAAAATTATTTTAATTTTAATGTTTATCTTTAATATTCGTATTTAAATATTGAAAATATTTTGCACTTTACATCAGCAATGAACTCTGCGAATAAATATAAAGAAAACAAATTTTTTTTTATTTGATTAGGACAAATGTGAAAATTGTTTCAATTTTTTCAATATTTCGATTTAAATTTCTAATTAGAGCATCGAAACAAAAAATGTACACATATTTCTGAAGAAAAAAATAAAACAAAAAGCAACTACGTTATGAAAATGTATCCGCCAAAGTAATTAACTAACTATTTTCTAATATCGTTAATACCGTTTTTCAAAACCGCTTCCAGTACTGCGGTATACTGTTTTACTTAGAAACCAAAAAAATTTCCATAAAAATGGTTTAAGTACCGTGAAATTCGGTTTTATTAATTAAAATTATGGCTTTTTTTAACTAAAAATGTCATTACCATGCAGTTCGGTAATTTTACCAGAATTTTTTTCTCCATGTAGAAAAAAAAACACACAAAAAATTATTTATTTCAGTAATTTAATTTATTGTATTGAAACAAATTTAATGATCATACTTGAAATCTTAACATGTTTACAATATTTTAGTTGTACCAAGATCTCATTAGAGCTAATTTGAAGGGATTAAACGTTTATGAAAAGAAAGATATTCCAAATCAATATCATTTGAGAAAGAACAAACTAGTTCAACCTTTGTTACTTGTTGCTGATGAAGGCTATGTTATAAAAGCGGTAAGATATTTTTTATTTTATATATTATATATTTTTTAGTCTATACTTTGTTTAAATCATAATTATCTTGAACCACGTTAATGAAGTTTTAAGCATTGTATGGGAGTGAATAAAATAACTAGATATGTTTATCATATTCATATTATGATAACTGAAAAATTAAATATCAACAACAAATAATCTTCCTTTCTGTAGACTCACTTCCTTGGTTAGGGAGAATAACGAAAAAGTTTTAGAGAAATTCAAAATTTCACGTCTATGTAAAGTTATCATTGTGGTCATTAATGTTTTAAACAATTTTTTTATTCATATAGAAAAATATTTATTTAAACTAGTCAAGATAAACCTAAAGTTTCTTTTTTTGTATCGAAAATGTAGATTTTTCCTTCAAAACTATAAATGCAAAGCAAATTTAAATAAGCAATGGCACCGTGGTCGAGGCACTGAAGTGTTGGGATTCCAGCCCTGATGGTGGCTTGGAGACTACCCAGCTTCAAATCGAAGCATAGGAGTTTAGTTAGGAAGTAAAAGTGGATGGTCCCCTCTGCTGTCCACATTGTCACCATCAAGCCTTAGGTCATGAAACTATAGTGCCTTAACTTCCTTGGAACCTCTTAATCACAACAGACTGTTGCGTAAATGCTTTTAAGAAACAAATTTCGGTTTTTAAGTTCAAAAATGTAAACATCAAAAATAACTCAAAAGTAAGTATATGCTGTTGCAATTTTAAATACACGAGGTGTGTAAATTCGATTATTATTTATATCGGAGCTATTTTGACTTATTTTTGCTCAATTTTGAAAAACTTCATTTATAAAGTGCAGTGATAACTTTCTATTGACTTGAAATTTTGCATTTCGAAAATTTTTTTTTCGTAATACTTTCACTAGACACGATTCTGGAGCAATGACAAAATATCTTGAATTTTCGTTTTTGTATCTTGAATTTTCATTTGACCGTTTTCAAAAGAGAAAGGTATTATCGGTTGATCGCCATGAGAGGGCTTTGTCTTAGATCTGGAGAATAACACATCTGGTTATGGCCAAGATTTGGTATTTTGGTGCCTATATCGTATTCCATTACAATATCATCCTGAAGATGTTTAACAATTTGGGTGAGAACTGCAGAAAATTGCAAAAGTTCCATCTGTAATCCGAAAAAAGCATGCATGATTACGAAACATTCATATGTGATATTCAGTAGGTAATGCAAATTTAAATATGTCTCATCGCAAGTTACTCTCAATAAAACCGATATTATTTGATCGTATATTCTAATTGTGAAGCAATGAGCTGATTTAAATTTTTTTGATCATTACACAATGATTCTTGCAACTGACTTTTACGATATGCTTTCTGATTCACTTCATTGAAGATGACCTAAAACTACAACTTCTCAATAATTTGAAAAGTCCTAAGTCCTAATAATTTTTAAAGACCTTATTTTGGTTTCATAAAATTTTTTTAAAACTATCATAGTGGGTTCATGTGGGGATTGTGTTGACTCTGAAAGCTGCTTGATGATATGGACAGAAACTGTTTGAGAGTGACTCTGTTTGCATCTCGAAAGAAAAATAATTTTCGAATTTGATTTTGTCATGTCGAGTTTGAAAAATCTTCGAGTCCAAATAAATAAGTCAGGAAGTTAGAGATAGTAAGTGATAGTCATTTACGATAGCATATGATGATTCGATATTCTTGATGACGAAGCCGAAGCGAAAGATTGTGTGCTCTTTCTTTCTTGTTTAGTAATTAGTAGGGAATGCTTAAAAATTTGTCAGGTATTAGCGTTAGCAATGGGAAATTTTGTTTTAAAAATAATTCTAGATCGCAAATTTTTTTATTTATTTATTTTTTATGCAGTTCATTAAGTCTGCAAATGCATTTAAAAAAAATATAACATATATAAATTCTGCACTTTTATGAATTCTTAAAACTTTTTTTCAGCTTTCAAATCCAAGAAAGATGAAACCTTTTGCTGAACGTATATTTAAAGGCTATCATGGATATGATCCATATAAAGTTAGAGACATGAGAACAATATTTTATGCAAGAGGCCCCGGTAAGTTCTCTCTCTCTCTCTCTCTCTCTCTCTCTCTCTCTCTNATATATTCTGCTTATATTAGTTGGTAATAGGATGGAAAAGGGATAAAGCAAATGTATATATACCGCGTGTACAGACAATTTTTTTAAAAAATTTCTCTTTCAAAAAGTTTGGTTATTTCATAAAACCATAAACAAAGCGGGCAAGATATTAATCTTATCTTCAAGATATTAATCAAGAACAAGCTCATTTTATTTTACAAAATTGCAAGATATTAATCTGCGCATTAATACTATTTTATGTGTTTTTAGAGCACAAAATAATTTTTTTATTTTAAAACCAGAAAAATATATATATTTTTTAAAATTTAAAACAATTCTTGTTTTATTTTTTATTGTAATCAAATTAAAATAACAATATAGTATCTGGAGACTTTTGGAGGCATTTTTTAGCCATTTTTATAAATAATACTAAACTTGCTTCGGTCTACCAACCACATAGTGGTTAAAATTACATCGTATCATATAGGTACCATATGCAGTGATTTTATTTTCACCTTATAATATTTTATAGACATATAAAACTTCATAGATAAAAACACAAATTGTGCAGATTCTGTCTTTTTAGTAAGATTTAAATTAATAGAAATTAAAATGAGGAAAAAATGATTTGAAGGAAGCTAATTGGCTAAATTATCAAATAAACAGAAATTCATTACAGAAAGTGATGTGAATGATTTACTTTCTTTTAATATATGGGTGATTCTTTGGAAACATGACAATTCGGACCAAAAAATTTCTTCAAATTTAAAGTCTTCAAAAGAGCCTAATTCTTTTTGTATACTTATTTAGTTACATTTATTAATATCTTACATTAGTGTAGTTTATTGATATTTGCTCAAGAAAAAAAAATCAAATAAAAATTCACCATATCCTGAATGCCAGGAAAATGACATATTAGCTTAGAAGTTTAAAAAACAGTCATTTTAGGCTAATAGTAAGTAACTCAACTTAAGCCTTTATATTAGATGTACCATAAATTGCATAAATTAATTCTTTTTATCCACTGTAGAAAGAATCAAAAATGGTTTTGTTGCTGATATGTACGGAATAAAATTTTAAATAATAATTAATCCTTAAATTAAAAAAATAACTTTGATTACATTCAAACATATTACAATCTTACATAAAGTTGGTATTAGGTTAATATTTGCTTTTTCTCTTTACATTCAACTGTTTAAAAAATTTCTTGGTAACACTTCAATGTCCTGGCATTCATAAGTCAGTAAAATGACAGCCAAGATAATGACAAATTTGCCATTTTATAGCATTTAACTTTAATTTAACATTTTGGCCTAAGACGTTTACATTCCGCAGAAAACAACAGGATTTCTTGAAATAACTTGGATAAATCTATGTAGTTTATGTTATTAATAATTTCAAGAGGACAGGAAAATGACAACATAAAAACCTACTCACCTTGAAAAAGTTTTTGAAATAAATTTTGAACTAGAAATTTGGTTCTTTATCCACGCAGAAAGACATGTTCAGATAGGATGGTGGTATCTAATCAATCTATTAACATAAGTTATTGATTTCTGGCGCTATCTATTTTGGTTATAAGTCACTAAGTAAAAATAACCTGGAAAATGACAGATTTTCTTGTGACAAACAAATTATTGACAGAAAAAATTATTTTAAACGAAGTTTTTTGTAAATAATACCCTCTGCCTATATTCTATAAACGCTTGCAATGGTTGAGATAAGAAAAATTAGATATTGAAAAATTTATGCGAAGTCTTGAAGCTAGTTATTATTGGAAATATTGTTTGTGACCTACCAGAAACATGACATTTTAAAATTCAATTAAATTTTATGAATATACAAAACAGTTGATGCTAGTACAAGGTCATTTTAAAATGCTAACAGCAATGCTATTTATTAAAATTTAAAGTATAGTATTAGAACTTGGAGCAAGAGACTGTAAATTGTCATATTTCGTGAGAATCGCCCATATTCTAATATTTATCTATTTATTTTTTAGCTTTCAAGAAGGGTTATGTATCATCTCCATTACAAATGGTGGATCATTATCAGGTCATATGTCGAGCGATGGGAATGGAGCCTCTGAAAAATAATGGATCATGGTCAAGAGTTAAAGACATGCTGGCAGGAAATGCTTTAAAAGGCGAATCTTTGATTGGGCCAGATAAGAAGCCAAAAACTGTAAAATTCAGCAAGAGTAATTTAGGCAATAAGAAGAAAAACAATTTCAGAGGAAAACGGAAGGGTTTCGCTTCTTCCTCTTCAACAAGCGTTGATCCGCAATTATTTTTCTCATTATTTCCATATCTCTTAATCTTCTTGATTAGCCAGAGAATAATCAATATGATTATTCATTAGGTTATTGTGAATCAACCAATTTGCGCAGGTGATCAGCAAATTGCGTTTCAACCTCTTGAGAGTGATTTAAATACCAAGAAAGCTTTGCAACCTACTATTTATAATTTAAAATTGTGATCGTTATGAAGCTTTCAAAAATGTGGTATTATCTCAATTGGTTTTTTTTGTTGGTGTTCGGTCTTTCATTTTAGTTTAGTTGTAGTATGTAGATATAAATAAAGCCTGAATGGCTTTAACTTCGATTTACGCAGAAGTCAACTTCTGTCGAGCAGCTAAAACGCACAAGCTCTCTGTCCACAACATCTGCTTATAACCTATGAGTTCATTACAGATGTGGAAATATATTTGAGAAAATAATATTATTTCCTGTTGTGAAATTAGAAGCGCCTTATAGAGTGAGGTATAGAAGGAATCTATACAAATATTTTTTGAGCATTTGAATTTATACTTTTTGAATGTAATTGCTGGGCAAACAAGATTGGAAAAAAATTAATTTTTGATACTGTATTTTTAATAAATAATTTGAAAAAAATTTTGTTTCTTTCTTTGCTCGATTTTCTCTTCATTAACTTTTTATGAGAAAATATAAACTTTTCATTGTTTGAGACGTTAATTATATCATGAAATCTTGACACAAGACATTCTTTATATATGTACATATTCACTATATATGTACATTCCTTATATATGTGCATTCTTTATATATGTACATAGTTTATGTACGTTCTTTCGTGCTGAATTAAAATATATAATTTATTTCAAAACCATCTGAAAAAATATTTTTTAATAATTTTTTTAAAAGCGTTTCATTAATTAAATATTTCATTACGTTCTAATTTATTTTTTTAACTGGTTTTAAGATTTTGTAAGAGTTTATAGATTTTCATTTGTAGACTTTCCTTTCGCGCTAAATTTAAGAATTCAGATAGTCAGTTGCAACACAGACACTTGATTTGCGAATATTTTTAGTCAATAGTAATCAGATTAAATATTTCGTTTCATTTTTCTGGAAAATGGCTACCCTATATTTGTTTTGTTCTATTCAATATAAAAGAATTATTTACCTCAAATATGTCGAAAGTGTGTTGCTAAAGTTTGTTTCATGATACCCAATATTATGTAGACTAGTTCTATTAATGTTGATAACTTTAAAAAAAAGTACTTTAAAATCATGTTTTTTATTTTTGAATGTCATACTTTCTAAAGAATAACCTACATTTAATGAATAGAAAATATAAACGCTTCTTTTATCAGGTTTAAGTAAGCTATATGGTTTAAGAAGGTCTTTAAGAGTTATTTCGTGAAAGCTTTAAATTTTTATGAAGTGTTTATAATCAAATATATAACGTAACGATTTTCTTAAACACTCTTAGGAGTTGAATGTAGTTATATGTAGTTGAATGTATTATATGAGTTGCATAAATAAATTGGACCGGGATAGCCAGGTAGGTAGGGCACTGGGCCCATGTCGGAGAATTCGTGGGTTCGAATCCCGCCGGCCGAAGACTCCCTGTGTAGTAAAGTGACTGATGCACGTTAAATCTGTCGAGTCGCAAAAGTCCTCCATGTTCCCATAACAAATCAATACCTCTGGGGGTACTGGATTGGAGATCGAGCGTTCTCTGATTTAGGTCAAAATTACGATCTGTGGATGAATGAATGGATGTATGAATGGGTCCGCCCTATAAACGGGTGTGACAGTGTTTATGGTGTGGCAGAAGTTGAATTCTTGGCCATAGATGGCGCCACTGATAGACAAGAGCAATCGCATCCTTTCTGCCTAAACTGGCATACGTCAACAACACAACATAAATAAGTTCAACCCTTCAATTTCGGCAATGCTAAAATTATTTCCAACTCATCACACATCAGCTCATCTTGATGCCCTGGAATATTGTTCCATCCATATGAATGTTGATTCCCTTGTTAACGACTTCATCTCCTCCCTACCTCTCCATAGCATGTGGAGATGCATTTTACCCTGCTTATCCCTTTTCGGCCACAATGGATTTTTTTTGCTCTATGTTTTCCTCTTTATTTTTGTTTCGTTTCGCTATGGACTGATCGTAAGGAAACAGTTTCCAGTTAAACACCAAATTCAAGCGTCACTGGCTGTTGTCAGTAAGCTGGTGAGTGAACACTTTAATCAGCTGCGTAGAGACCGATGGTGTGCGGTATTGGTCCTCTTTAAGCTTTCCTAACGTAAAGTGCACGACTTAGCGCGCAAGTCGTCGCATGACCAGAGCAGAAAAGCCATCCCCCCTGCAGTGGATCAAAATCGTGATGATGTGTCTTCGAATCATCTTCAGGGATGTTACCCAGACCGTTGCCGATAGCCCATTGTGCAGCTCTATTGGAACGAAATAAAATACCTACCTACCTTATTTTTGTTTCAGTCTCGGCTAACGGGATTTTTCGAGTTTTGTTTCTCGCTTTTAATTTCTATTCTTCGTTGGCAACTTTACGTTTAAGAATTCAAATCAGTTTTGTTTCTTCTCATTCATGTATGGAAAGTCTCGAGAATGAGCGTCTACTTTTGAGCGCTGCAAATACGTTAACTTTTATTTCCATCTGCATATTTTTGAAGTTAATGAAGTTTTTTTTAATCGTGTAATGTGGTGAGTTGTATGTTAAATAACTTCACAGGCACTATTTTCTTAATCCCACTTTATTTCCCCATACAATAGTGTAATATTACATATATACAGAGCAAAGTCAAAATTTAATAAGTCATTTTTATATTTTTATATATGCAGTTATTTATCTAATTATCTTAGATAATGCCAACAATCACTCTTTAACATCAATCATTTGCTATGAACATTCTTGGTTAAAAGTTTATCTACCGATAAAGGTTACTACATTAAACAAATTTCTTTTACAACAGGGATTCGGAGAATTGGGACAGTTATATACAATTAATATTTCCAACTCTAAAGTTAATATAAAACTTGATTTACCAATCACTACATAAAATACGATACACTACAGGAAGTGAACATGGGATTATATAACTAAAACGCAAAAATTATGAAACACAGAAAAATATAGAAATCATTTACGTGCTAAAGTTTAAAGAAAAATACAAGCTATAAACAACAAATCTGAAAAATAAGTAGCTATAGGAAAAAAAAGTAGATTTCACTATTGCAGTTCATACGCTTAAATGCAATATTTCTATATTTTATGAATTAGGTAAAAAACTCACGAAGTTTGATATATATCCTAAATCTTTGCACTTAAAACATTTGCAGTTAATTGAAGTAAGTTTATCAGATTACTTATACTCCTCTTACTGCACAAAACCATATTATTTATAACTTTCGTGTAATTTAATGTCTATTTTTTATTATAAAAGATTCAAATTATTGTGAGCTACATTTGTAAAGGTGCAGTAAGAAAGTTAAGAATTAATTTACATATTAGTGAGTGTTATTACTGTATTATTTGTTTTATATTTAAGTGTTGTTGATTGATGTTTAATTAAATCAGCTTAAATTTTTTTCAATATAAGTAAATTTTTTAAATAATAACCTACGAAGAGCGTTTAAATAGAAGCACGAATTTATGGCTAAAAATGTCTTTTTAAATGCAATTTATCAGCACCCTATTCTTGGGTAGCCTATCATTGGCATTGCAATAAGCTTATTACATTGTTCAGATCTTTTATTTTTCAAAAGTAATATAAGGCTTCGATTTTATGTTGATCCATTACAGATTAGTTTCGGTTAGCTTTCTTATTCGAATTCGCATCCTCCCAAAAATATTTATGCATTGTTTGGAATTTTGGAATGCGTTGAACCCTAATATGGTTCAACTTTGCTGCAACCTTAATTGGCGCTGCGTTAAACCATCTCATTGCGTAAACGAATGTTTCTAAATTTGATGATACGATATTGTGGTTCAACTTTAACGAAGAACTGGTTCAATGTAACTTCTTATTAAGGTTCTAACATATTTGCACGGTTGAGTTCAAATGTGGTTTGACGTTGATCTGATTTTTCTGCGAATGAATGCGAACTGTCTCTCTCAGTTAGTGTTAAAACTTAACTGTATCTGATAGATGGTGTTAAATCTAAACAATCTTTAATAGAATATTTAAATTTCGTCCTTGCCTGTTGTAATCTGAATAGATTTCAGTTTTTATTAAAGGAGTTTTTGGTGGAAAGACATTAAACCACAATGAGGAGAAACAGGTAAATGTGCTATAAGTAGGCTTTTAATACTTGAGCGTGTGATGCATAGGTATGGGAATTTTAAAAATAGCGTATTTGAAGTTTAAAAAAAATAAAGAAATCCATTTAAATAAAGACTGATCAAGTTTTTGAAGAATTTTCTCTTAGAAGAATTGGTTTAATTTTGAACTAATGCTCGAATTTTCTGTAACCTTAATAAAGTGTTAATACGAACCATGCTTCGTTCAAGTAGAACCAAAATATGATGAAATCAAGTTTAAGAAGCTTCAATTTTTACGATAGTATGTCTCAACTAGAAAGTGTTGTATGGTTGAATAAGTTTTTTGCAATATTGTTAATCAACGCGCACCAAATGTTTCAGTGTTGATCATTTTGAAACCAAATTATTTTTGATAGAGTTTGGAATCTTTTTTAACCCGTAAGTAATTATTTCAGGGGACAGTATTAAATAGTGTGTACTTTTCCGCACTGTATTCAATAAATAGCATTTAATTGATCAATTTCAGCTCATATTTAAACGATCGTCATATTGATTTACCTTGTGTGAATATGCTATATGAAATAAATGCAATAAATATATAAATCCAAGGATATACATAATAATCCAAGGATTATTTTCCTTAAATCCGTTAAATAATTGACTGACTAATTAAACAGTTCACTTATAAAGAATGTGAATGTATTGTTTGTGGGAAATTATTCACATTTTTATAACCACTACCTAAATTCATAGCTCAGTAGATGCAATAAGATAATATAGATAAATTGTCCTCTTCTGCAGCTCAGAAATCCTTAGTTTATCAGAGAGAACATCGGATCCTTTTTAAAATATAAATTTAGAGTTTTTGTGAAAAGACATAAAAAGAGTTTTTAGATTGTCTTATTAAAATAAGCATCATCAGGATTAAGGCTGTGGTGGATGCCGTAGTATATCAGTGATGAAAAAATCTTAGAAGCTTATTTAGTCAGTTTCATTATGTAACTTGGATAAATATATACAATTCTCTAATTAAAATGATAAAGTTTTATAAAAATTTTTTTGGTAGTTTGTTAAACAGAAAGGGACTAATTTTTTTTTTAACAGAAATAAAATCTTTAAAAATTTAGTGTTGTTTATTTTTTTAAAATGAAGATTTTATTGTTTTACGCATGGAGGTTGGCTCCTATGGCTGGCAATGTGCCAAAAAAGTAGTTTAACAACTGAAAAGGGTGAAACATTTATTATTTGATTATTTCAAGAGTCGAATGCTGATAAAACACTGGGAAGGTATTTATTTATGTTAATTTCCACTGCAGTTTTAATTGTATA